TTTCACCCTCTTTCATCAACTAGCCATTGCTAAAAACAGTTTAAATTTACCAGATACATCCACTGAAATGATTTATCAGCATAATAAATGAAGATTAACATATAATTTGACTAACTACCTTTCATCTAAATAAAAATATTATTCATTTCCGATTCAGACAACATAACCGCGAACACTATATCGTAGTAAGTACCGTTACGTCTCGGTTGACGGGCTACTTACCCCCTGCCCCACCCCCCGTTCCCGCCAAGCGGCCAACATTCAACTCACTGACACCCTACAACGCAGCAGAAGAGCTGTCAATCGACTTCGCTAACAGGGGTATCACTTACATGCAAATTTAGAGCTAAAATCCTGACCGTTTCGATGAGCGTGCAAGTGGTGCTGTGGCGGGGTGAGTGGCAGGACAGCATAGTAGAACGGTGAATCGCGGGAAGGGAAACGGAGGGGGGATCAGGAGGCGCGATGTATTAATTACCAGTATTGATGTCCATTTGCAGTGAATTGATGTGTGGTCAGTGTTGCATTACGCGCAGGGGCCGACCGGTCGAAACACACCGTGTGCAAGCGGCGCTCTGCAGAGGGATGAGCCCGCATTCAAACAGGGGCGAATCGGAATGGCTGTATGTTGCGAATTTAATCGACGTCGATCACACGTATCGATAAATTGTAATTCTCGATTTTCGCGGTTCAAGAGTTTCTCATGGATTTGTTTGAATTGTTTATTGCAATCTGCGTTTATTGAATGCATTTGCCATAGAGATGACATTTTGCGGAAAATCTTATGTTAGTTGAAGCGATAGATGAATTTATCAAGTTTTTACAGAATGGCATTTTTGATAACAGAAAGAGTCCATCTTATTTGACAACCTATAATTTAAGTTTCATATGTGTGGTATCTTTGATGAATGTTTTATGTTTAGACTGTGCAACCGCTTTATTGGGAAAAGGAGTGGTTTGCCTTCTATTGTACCTAGTATTTTGCATTCGAAGGGTTCATGAGTGGGTCAGGGGTTGGGTAAGACCTTGACCTAGTTCACGGGTTCTCATGGGTGGGTACGAGACGATAGTTGTACTAAGCGTTGGAAGAGTTATCCGTCCAAGGTCATTGGTGATCAAATTTTGCAATGCCAGTTAGGAGATCCATAGCACATTTTCCTTGTGCCTTTACACGTTAATTAATAGTAACGGTATGACGCACTAAATGTATTTGTTGTTTACGTTTTGCAACATTTTTGTAAAAAGTACGTTTAGCAAAATTCTGCACAACTTTTACGTTAATACAAGCATAAATAATTAAATTGATTTAATAACTTTTTATGAAAAAGCTCCTTCATAGTTTTAGTAATTGTATACAAAAAAATTATAGTATTATAGTTTATTGTCAAAATTATGAAACGTAGATGGTAAACTATTTACTCGGGGGGATTAATAATTCAATAAAAGGTATAAAAGTAAACATAACGATAAAGAACAGTAACAAATAAAATTTATTGGTGTACAAAAAGAAAACTAAAGTTTCTTCATGAAAACATTTTTGTAACTTGAGGTAAGTCATAAGTAAAGTTAAAGGATACTGACTCAAATAAAACCTACGTTTTCTAATAAATTATATAGAAATGATGAACAATGAATGTTTTTGCAAGCAAATAAGACTAGGCTGCTGTTATTGAATACTATTCACCACTTCTATTAATTGAAAACATACATTTTAAGAATTCATTACATGAAAATGGAATTTTTTGTCTAAACAAAAGTGGTTCCACGCTTTTAATCTATATTCTCATGTAAAATCATCACACATCAGTTTAGATCATTTGTTACGAGTTACCCTAGTTAGTTCGTGACGTCATACACCCTTCATGGAGTAGCCTTGATCGTGTAACTCTTTCCAGGTTCCCTATAGTGTATGTTGGTAATGTATCCGTCAGCTTTTTAGCAATTTTTCAAAAAATGAATATTTTAATAAAATACTGTAAGTAAAAATACAGTAAAAAGCTGACAGAATTCAATTTGCATACAAAAATAAAAAGTTGTCAACTTAGCCACCTAAAACCCCTAGGACGTTTAAACCCATATAAGTTCAAACTCTAGTAACATAATTTTTCAGATTTCATTTTAAAAACATAGAAAAACAATCTTCAAAAAAGAACGCCCAAAAGTTATTTCTGATTCATTCATTTTTTTTAAACATCACCGTAAAAGGATTTTCTTAACAAATTCGAAGTTACTGTCAATTATATGTATTACCTCGTTGAGTTGGCACTTATTATCCGCCACCACATAAATGTGATTTTGCTGTTCTCATCTTCATCAAATTAAAATACTCAATGGTAACACAATCTAAACATCCAAACACAATATTTCTTAATAACAAACTAGCGCGAACGTTTCATTTCACATTTCAATGGTCTTATTAATTTCCAAGCAACAAGTACCTTTATATCTGTAAAATGAAAAACATTACAAGACGCAAGCGACAGGTGATATATCGCGCAACGAAACCTGTAGCCGTTAAAGCATTAAAATCAATCTTACCATTATCTTAATGAACGACGCAGATTACAGAATAATCCGATGCTAACATCACGAAGATACCGATTAATTCTGATCAATAGCGGGGACCCTAATCTCGTCCGATCAAGGGGCGTGCATGACAGATATTATGAGTCCACCCCGAAAACCTATCAAGACATCCGTCGTCGACGTTTCAGAACGCGGGTAGAATCGGCTCGCAAGATTTATGACCAGTCTCGACCGGTCTTTAGCCGCTTATTAGCATGCGGTATATCACGGCGGCTGGACCAGCCAGGGTCCGCGACAATAATTAGATAGATACGGGACATAGACGGAACGGGAATGGGACGTAGGTGATGCTAGCTGGGTAGCTAGGTATCTACGATCCCGGAGAGAGGCCAAAAGGGAGTTGGAGAGACAAGGAGGAGGAGCGAGTGAGAGAATAGAGGCAGCCAGGGTGACTAGAGGACGAAAGCGGGGTCGCAGAAGTGGGTGGCAGTCGGGTGGCGGACTGGAAACAGCCAGAACGGTGCGTCGTATGCAAATGATGACGTCATACAATACCACCCTCCGGTACAACGGGCTATAGACAATGCATCTGCACAGATAGCTCTCGTTCTACAACCCGTACTGCACTTCGTACTCTGCGTTCTGGACGATTCGTGACTCTGACACTGGATCTGGGATTGTTTTGAAAGACTGTAACCGATGATCGCCACGGAATTTGATGGCAAAGGTAGACACATGGAGCGCGAAACGCTTCGTAGATATCTTTGCTCTTTTTTTATGAAGCTCGAAGCAGGAGATTTCGGTCTGAACGCTTGGAACAACCGGGGATTGGATTGAGCGCGTACGGATATCTGGGAACTATAATTCTATTTACAGATTGGGAAATTTAATTTTTAGGTTGCTAGAATTTTTGAAAATTGATCTAGGTAAACGTATGAAAAGTAGGTTTAAGTAAGTGTTTGTTTTGTGATAGCTTCAGACTAATATGATAAATTAATACCTGCTTACTATAATACGTTAAATTACGACTCAAATAATAAATCTAAATCAATAGTTCAATTCTTTTTCGCTACTTATAGTAGATACTGTAAAATACTTCGCCAAAATTACTGTTTCAATAGTCACTTTAACATGAAAGTAAAACTTTTCTTAGTCTACGATCACCGATTTGATTGATACGTCGGAATAAATTTTTCGTAGTAATGGGAGAGAACAGGATTGCCATCCTGAGATAAAATTAGGTTAACGCCAACAAAATCTTAAATAATTATTAAATATATGACAAGTTTGAAGAATCTAAAAATACAAATTTTAGTAAAAAATGTTAACGAAAGAGTTCGTTTATGGAGTTAATGTACTAACATACTATAATGCTGATTTTTAAAATCTTAATAACATTTATGATTTAAAAAATAATACAAAATGCTTTTGAAGCTATATTCTTAACGATATGAAAAATAAATATACAAAAAAATCCTTTTTCATATCACTCAATACCAAAAAACTCTTAACTAGTTAACAGCATTCGACGAGTATATACGTCATCTTAAAACCCAATGCGGTACTAATTTATTCAATGATGAATTACTTATTTCTTTCAAATGAACATGTAATCCTTCTCCGTCTTATTTTAGTCTATCGTTAGAATATATTATAGGTACACTTTATCGTTTGACTTTATTGCGCGCACAATGAGAGACTTTTTAAACTGAATTCCATAGTTAACAGGTTAACCCTCAGTAGGTCCATGTAACTTTGAAGTCACATATCATTATATTGGCATCTTGTTGATTTATTTCATTTTGCATGGCAAAGTGGTGAATAAAATTAAGTAATCAATTAACTTGAACTTTTATACGCACAGGCGTGACATTTCAACGTCATTGTAACTTGAAAGTTACAAAATTGAATACATTGTTAATTCCTATTCATATGTGGATATTTATTAATTTTGTACTGCATAGATTTTGTTATAGTCATGAACAAATTTTCGGAAAAATTCACAAAAATTCGGCCCATAGGGGGTTAAAGTATTCAGAAAATGTTTGAATTCACTTGATTAGAGTATAATTATGCGTACTGGTTCTTTACATGTTTCTCAAAATATTTATAAAACGTCATATAATATGATGATACATATATGTACATATAATTCATTCCATCTCCAGTGACTAACAGAGTTAGCAAAGCTAACCTAAGGCGAAAGGATTCGCAAAATTTGTAAGTGGGCAGTCATAATACAATAGAATCCGCAGATCAAGGACAATATGCGTGTATCTAGCCACGATTAATCTGGATTTCAGTGTCAGTGCGATAGACGGAAAGCTTGAACAGTCTAGTAGCTCGTATTCGTCGTTTCCCCGGCCGCTGTTGCCGTGATATCGAATGTCACTCGCAGGATCCGTCATTTCATTCGGGCCGATTCGACCGCACGTCATTGCGGTAAGATCTCCACCCACCCCTCCCGATTACGCCTGATTTTCTGTCCAGGTGCTTCATCGAAATTCCCTTGAATTTGCAGAGACCGCAGAGGATAGGGGTAGTCCTGAAGTCGTGCCAGCCAATCGGACTAATATTAATACTGGTGTTCATGAGCCGCATCATGTACCTAACATTCAAGGAATTTTTGTATCTAATGATGAGAAAGTTGTAAAGTCTACATTAAACAGAGCAAAAATCATATTTTAACTATAATACAGATAAACAAACGCTGGGTCATTATACAGATTTCTACTTTTATTCGTTATAAGTAAACTTGTATTGACTAAATGAGAATTTTTATTTGTTACGTATACAAAGTTTGTGTTCGATAAGTGAAAAGTAAAATAATCATTTATTAGTGTCACATGTAGGTGGTCAATTCTTCGTCCAGATCGAAAAATTCATTTTGGTGTGATATATCGAATGAACCAAATTGGATTAGCAACAGTAGTGAATATTTTTAAGACAAAAAACACTCACACATAAAAATGCCAAGTTTCATATTGGCACACAAAATATCTCCGTTATTTTTGGCTCAAAAAACGTTCAAGAAAAAGTTACACTATTTTCAGAGATATATCTGACTGGAGTAAACATAATTATTTTTGGCACATAAAGATATGTTTAAATCCACTAATTCTGAGAAACATTAAAACCTTAACCTCTTGCCCTACAATATCGTGTCAGACTCGTGATGAAGATTTCAAATAGAATTTAACAAATATAAATATCACTTAACTCTTTTAAGTTCAAATTGAATATTATTTTTTTATTATTAATTGTAATGCTTCTCAGCAAGCGTACACATAAAATAAGTATAGAATTTTCCTCTTTTTCTAATGAATTATGAACAATAAAATATTGTTGTTGAGCACAATTGGAAAAGAAATCATAGGATAAGAGGTTAAGAGTGTTAAGTATTTAAAAAATAGAGATACGAAAAATTTTGTCAAATATTCACGAAAACATGAAACGTACAGAAGAAATATAAAAATGGGTACCTTGATACTTAATTGCCCGCACAATAGTGAACCCTTTGCAGCCGAATGTCACTATAATGGTGACTTCAAGCTTTGATACCTGAAATCAAAAGCTACGAAAAAATAATTTAATTAATCGAATAACACACGACACGTGGTGTCTTTTCCCTAGTATATAATGTATGTTCGTTGAATAATTCAGCTTTTTATGGAAAGAGTTTCCGAAAATTTGAAAAATTCTCAACCGCAAAGGGTCGAACGAATAGACCAATACCTTATATCACCCACGACAGGTAGATCTTTCCCGATGTCCTCCCCTGTAACTCAAAGCCGCGATACACGTGTCCAAGGGTGATCGGAGCATCGAATCATTAATTGATTTGATTGATACTATCTACGCACGTCGACGGTTGCAGATGTTGAATAGGCAGGCCGTATCGGTGGTTTGACTGCGGTATGTCCAGAGGATTCGTACGTATCCGAGCGGGCGCATACAGGCCGTGGGGGCAAGTATGTGGCGCACGCGAACGCCTATTCCCACGTGCGTACACGCATCAGCGAGCGGCAAACGTGCTCGTACGAAGCGAGCGGTTCGAGGTGAGGGCCTAGCACGAGCACACGTGTACGCCGAATGTCATTTGTCATCGCGGCTAATTTGCCACGTTCTGAGATACGGTGACGCCTCTGACGCGGTCATTATTAAGATGCGAATTAGTAACAATTTGCGCCGGATTTAGTCTGGACTTGATCTGTTTATGGCCCACACGGATTAGGCTTCCGGACCTTGCGCGTAAATCAATATTAACCGGCAGGAGAGCCCATCCGAGTCGCGGTGTTATCGAATACACCGGATCATCAAGGTCTTCTGATAAGGATACGAAACGAACGGCTTGGTATACGGGTCCTCAATGTACACCGCTTACTGCCGGGGTCGCAAAGATCTGTCATTCGTCACCGTGGCTATGTCTTATTTTCCAAAAATGGGACCGTGGAATGATAACGACAGTCTTGCTATGTGAAAGGTAATTTCTAATATGTACAATATTTGTAATATTCTTAACCTTTTGTACTCGGAAGTTCCCCACTAGAAATATTTAACATTTTTTGACCAGGCAAAGACGATATTCTTTGAAACTGCCTCGAAGGGAAATCACAAGTACATTGGAGAACAAAGCTATTTTATTCCAATATTTCACGTATCGTGGCATTATACAAAGTTCAACATTAAATATCAGATTTTATAATACACATAAAGTGTCAAATCTAGTGGTGACTGAGAGTCACCTTCCGAGTGCAAAAGGTTAATATCGGAATAGACCTTTCTTCAACATTTTACGTGAAATTTAATAAATGTTTATATATACGTGGTTGAAATCACGTCGCTTGAAAGTATAATTCTTCGTTCATGGATGTCCAATTTTTGCAGTATACTTATTCGTACAAGAGACATGTAATTTTAACAGCTTGATGACCGGTGAATTTGTTTGCGAAAGACATTTTTCGACTTTAATATACATACTTTACTCACGTATGATACGCTAAAACGATTTAAATGATCTCAACTGGCGAATACAATCTAGAACGCTCTTACAAACATCTATCATTGCCTTCAGGTATAAATTAATGTAAGTGCAAATATAAAAAAACTCATGAACAACTCGAATATTTCTCACTTTTCAGTTTTTTGCTTATAACACAGAGGATTTTAAGCTTTTAAAGAATTGTTGTATCGATATTGAAGCTGAATGTCTACTAATAAGAAATCTATGAAAAAAATGTTGATTCTAGGTTTTAACTATTAGTTTTTCGCTGTTAAATCTGAACTTATCCGATTCGCCTTGGTCTACCCTACTCGTGACCGGTCAGCAAGATGTTAAGAGCAATAATGAAGATTAGAGTAATCAGTATCAAGATAAAAACAATAGGTCAAAGAATTAAAGGGAAACTTTGTGCTTAAAATTGAAATTCTCTTTAACTTTTTGCCTTGCTATTATTTAATGTTTTACCTATGAATTAAATTCATCTGAACGAATTCCTTAAACACTCAATTACTCGTCAGTATCTTTATGTAGAAACTAAAACATAAGTTTAAGATATAACAACAATTATTTAGGGAATATATCAACAAAGTATCCATTGCGAGAATTTGTTTTACAGCTACTAGAACATAAATCATCAAGCTTAGAATTAGGTGAGAGTCTAACATAAGATATTCTCTTATACTCTTCATACATACACTCAAGTGAACATATCGTCCTTCAACACCTCTAAAATATTCGATTCGTTGTTTTAAATACTACATCCTTAAAAATTTCATTTCATCTAAACAATTTTTTTTTAGTAATAAAGAAGTAGCAAAATTTTATAAAGACTGAAATACGAAAGAATTCCTTAAGAGACCTCCGTATCGTGATAGCTTCGAAAAGACACTTCTCATTGATAAAACTCAAAGTCTATACTTCACATATCACAATCCTCGCTTTCCTAATTCTTTTTAGCCCTACTCATACAGACTGAAGACTGCTTACATCATTGTTTTAAGTAAATAAATAACTTCAAATTAAATTTCATAGATTCCTGTAAAGAAACATAGACACACGTATGTTCGTTGAATACAGTTTAACAAGTCAATAAATTTCTAAGCTATTATATTCAACACTTTTCTTTTAAAAAATCCTAAATACCGCCTTACTCTCTTAACTATCACACGAGGGATTCTTGTTAAAAACATTTGAATTAAAGTATTTCAATCTTAAGGAAGTTACAATTTAATTACCGACCATCACTTTAACTGAAATCCCAGGAAATGAATATACAGACAAAAAACAATTATTTAGATTGTAAATTTACAATGAACATCACCGCGCAATTCCATTTAGTCCAACACCAAAAGCACCTTTGATAATTTAAGACACTTACCGATGTTCCCTGGAATTACCCTGAAGTAACCGCAGCCTCTCGTCTCCACATAGACCTGCGAACCCAAGAAGAAACATTACCAAACGAAATTTTCAAATTCTTCCAACAACTGCGACGCAAATGCATTTTCTTGAAGCGAAATATACACCCAAACCCCGTTCAACAAGTCTAGCAACCCCGAGACCTGTTGGAGGTGCGAAACGATCGCTTTCCGAAGGGCAACAACGGTCCGCGTTCGAGGGGGTATTACTCCAAGGAAGAAAACCGAGGAAGTTCCATAAAAAGCAGCAAGAGTAAGAGGAGGGGGAGACGCATCTAGGAACAGCCGGGTAGGTAGGTGTGAGTCGAGGTCCGCGTACCTTTGGCTCCGAGGGTGGCATTATATTGCGGGTTGTCTCGGTTCAGAAACTTTGTACTGTGGTCGCGGCGAGGAAGTGAACGCGCGCGCGACGGTGGTGGCGGCGACGAGGGGGCAGGGTTTCGTGGAGCGGGGCTAACTGGGAGGGTGGAACAGAAGTGGTGCCGGACTTTGAATACGACCATTCTTTACGACCACCCCATGCAAAGATCGCCCGCACGCCGTCGGTATTTACCCAGCGACACCAACTCGCGGACCGTTTCGTGAATCGAAGCGAAACAGACGAAAGGAGAAAGGGGAAGATGGACACCGTCCTGCACATAGGAAAGGGAGAGGTCGTCGCTGGAGGGGCTGGGAGAGTCGTCGAGAAGTCCAAGAGGGCGAAATAGGATGGTGGTGATGGTGGTCGTGACAGTGGTGGTGGTGGCGGCGGAGGTGGTGGTGGCCGCGGTGGTAGGGTAGAAATAGAGACCTGTTCGGAGGGAGAAAGATAGTGAAAAGAGGGCCAGCGCGGAAGACAGAAAAGGAAGGACAAAATACGAGGGAACGGAGTCGACGGAGAACAGTTCGAGTTGGCGTTTCTCGTTCGTCGACCGGCACCACCCTCGCCTAACATCGCACAATACGTTTCTACCTACCCTCCGCCACCGTCCATAGACTGGACGCTGCATTGTCTCTGGTGAATGGGGTCTTGCAAGATTTATTTCGTATATTTCACTTGCCGTTTCAATAGCGCGATAGCGGCTCGCGCTGCCTCGAGTGTCGCCTTCGAGCGCGCTACTTCCCACTCTCCCCCCACCCTCTGCCTTCATTATTAGCTTTCTCTTTATTGACCACCCCCCGGATCCCCCGCCTCCTCGTTACGCAGCCGGTTTATGTCTAAAAGGAGACTTTGTTACCTGTTTGACTGACCCCAACGCTTTGAGGAAGTTTTCTTTGAGCTATGCTCGCGATAGAGGAATTAATTTGCCGATTCGTGGATAGTAATTATAATTTTTGATGCGCCGATAAGTAATACATTGTTTTTGTAATAAGGTGTAGCCTGTGTTGTTGAAATTGTTTTATAATTACCGCGCTAGATTGGAACGATCGGGAATCTATCTGGAGAGGAACGGTTATAAAATGTGGAGGTTATTGTAATTAATATGTGAAATTGCCGTGTTTTCGTTTAGTTAGTTTGAAATACCTTCAGACAGCAAGCTAGTTCATTGAAATATACGCAATCCACAGGGTTCGATACGTGAATGAAAAGAAAATGTAAAGAAATTTATCGGAATATGGGACAAAAAATTAACTACAAGAATTAGTTACTAAAGAAAACATTTGCATTCTGCTCTCACAGTCAATTTACAAAATCTAATATACAGTTAAATAAAATTTCATGAAACACAACCAATTTCGATGTTCTTTGTACTTCCATGGGTCAGAAAAAGCACAATACTGTTTTTGTAGCAGCAGCAAAAATAGACGAGCTTCTTTTCCACCGTGCAAAGATATTTGCGATAAGCGTATCTAACATTTGATTTTTAATTTAAAACTTTCAAGAAAAGTAGTAATAAGTTTTCCATAAATTGTTGTAGTACTTTAATGTTCTATAATCACAGTCTCGTTACATCCACGTTAGGAATATAGAAGGCAAAAGGGCTAGTGAAGTTTGTCACGGAAAGAAGTGAAAGAGCAAAAAATGAAGAACTTTACCTACGAGAAATGACCTATTTAAATATTTATAGTGCGTAAAAAAATTAATGGGGATCCATGTCTTGCCGTGGAGTATATTGCCGAGGGTTGTCGCTCTGACTAGGCTACCAAAGGGCTCTTCCGTTGTATTAGCTATACCACCGAGAAAGACTTGTGGTCTAGCTATCACCCTCCCTCTACAGATCTTTTTTCTCACTTCAAGTCTCATCCCTTTAATTCCTGATTCGCTCTTCTCGTTCGTTGAATAAATTCACACTCGAATTTTATTAATTGATTAATTTGGGGGACTGATGAAGATGATTAAAATGAGAAATATATACTCTCCCTACGGAAAGTTATCGATGATGCACAAACTTTTATCAATTTCTGAATTTAGGAATATAAAATAACAAATTTGTGCTTACTTTAATGTAATAGTTAAGAATAGTTTGACATGTTAATATTACGAAAATTTAAAAGAAGAAATTCAGTATATTTGAAGCTCAATAATGTCTCTTAATAATGGCAACGAAAAAATAATGCATATAAAATCTTATAGTTACGAAATGAGCCCTGTTATATAATTATTTTCTTCATTGTTTCAGGAATTATAATACACTATTAAATGAACACTACTTTTTTTACAATTTTATAATATATTCTTGGTTTTATTTACTATCTTCGAATAGCATTCTCTGTCACTTCTGTGTAGAGAGTAATAAATAAAGTCTATTTATTAGAAGTATTAGTTCTATAATATTAAATGGAAGGGTTAATAAAAGAGAAAATAGTCGAAAACTTTCTGTTAGGGTTAATTTGTTAAAAATACTCTAAATCTTAAACACTGTTATCTTATTTAATGTTTACTTTATTCTTGTATAATATTTTCATTCAGTATGTTGCCAAAAAGACACATTCCAAATAAATTAAAAAATTATTCTATGAGTCTGTAACACTCCTATCATCAGTGTGATAAAAGAAAACACAAAGCAGTTGTCCGCATATTAAAAAATTGACATAATGCTGTATTTCAGCACGGTTAATATCCAATCAATATAGAAAGTGCGCGTGCTCAATTCTTTATCAAAAAACGAAAATAATCTACGAGTAAGAAAAAGTTATATAAAATTCTATTTATAATGTTTTATTCCATCTTTTATTCCCTTTCCCAGAATCACTTACAGAAAGTACCGTTACAGCAGTCGTACTAATCCGTTTGATTGAATGCTCACTGTCGAGGAGTAACACGTTACAAAACGCGAGCCGGAGGAACAATACGTACGCACGAACCTAATAAAATTGAATTATAGGAAAGCAGGTTACACATAAAAATCTGTTAAGTACGTTTGCCCCGGTTTAGAGGTTGGCGTTTAAGATAAGACGTACGCCGTCGTTAACGGTCGCGTAACGATGGATGCAGGCCCTAATGAAGCACAAGCTGCCATGGAATTTAGGAAGAAAATGTTGCCAGTTCACGAGAGAAAGTATCGAAAATAATGAGATGAGCGGGAGGCACGAGGATTAATTTTTGCCGGCCGTTTGTTATCAACTTAGTATCGGTCTTCGTACGACGGCCGGAACAATAACAGCGTTATCGCGATACTAATTAAAAATAATTATTTTTTAAGGCTGATTCTTAATCGGGGAGAGACATAGATATACGCTGGGGTAATTCTCCGCCGAGAAAACGACGCCCATTATCCCTCCAATAAGATTCTTGTCAATGAGTTATAGGCTTTTTTTACAGATGTAAGAGGCTTCCCTTTATTGCGCATCAACCCTTTTTCCTAAAGCCTCCACTTTGTCAAACCGCTTTTATTTCAGGGGATAGAATGCCTTCCGTAAGCCTTGATATCAAGAACCTTGAGTTTATCTTAGGTTGAATCCTTTTCGGTAACTTAACATTCCCTTTTCTTTTTGTATTTCTTTAAAAGGTAGAGGTACTATTTCATATAATACCGTATACATCGATATTCGAGTTATTGACTTTGATATTTGTTGGTCAGATCGTTTGAGAATACGATATACTATGCAACGATTAAACAACAGATTTTATGATAAACGGAAAAAATAGTAAATTTCAAGATATTTTCATTTTACGTTAAATATGATTAATAGTGAAGATGAGCTTTTCATAAATTAATGGAAGTAAATATAATTGTAATAAATACTCGCAGTTTGATAATCATTCTTTGAACATGTGAATTCTAAATCTTTTACGTTAATATCCATAACGTATCATAAATTTTGCGGGAATATCGTAAGGACTGTTACGAGTTTTCAGCGGAGTAGTGTTAAAATAGATTCACAAGAAGATTAATAATTAAAAAGTCGCACTCCACGTTCGGATGGGCCGTGGTTCTTTGCTTCCCCCTAGGCGGCCATTTCCGTGGCATTAGGTTCCTTATTTATGGACTTTCATTAAGATAAAGAAAAGTAAAGGGAAGGGTTGCCATCGCCAAACACCATGTAATTATTTCCACGAAGGTCTAGCTGGCTTTCTCGATTCTTTCAGAGGGTCTTTGAAAAGGGAACCGATGCAAATAAACCCATCAAATAAATTTCGATATCGATCTTCCCAGCCAAGTACCAAAAAAGGGGTTTGCAACCCTTCTCTTCTTCCTTTGTGCGGTTACTTTTATCTATGGCCATCGATTTTCTGTTACTTAAGAATTCAGAGCGTGCTGTTGACACTGTGATCGCCGGTTAAAAAATGAAAACTTCAAGACGAGAAACAATTAGGGACTGATAAATTATAGATTCAGTATAATTAGAATTCATTATAGAACCGACGACTATAAGTGTCTTGTATTTATAGAAAAATATAAATGTACTGCATGTAATAAAGTAGTATTAATAAGTTTTTTATTCTATACCAAACATATGTCTTATTCTATACTAAACATCTGTTAATAAAGAAAAGTCTACTTTTAATCATGATTTTCTGCAATTTGTAAAGTAAACATTGCGAACAAAGTAATACACATAACATTTTGAAAAATATGTTTCGCAAGTATAAATTAGTAAAATCTGGGTTATAAAATGTTTTGATAACTAATGAAGATAGACGAAAAGTATTAAATACAGAAATAAATAATTTTAACACTAATACATGTAATTTACAAAATTGTAAACAAATTAGATTAATCATATTCCGAATCCAATTGATTCAATTATACGGTTTCTCAATTATATAAATTGGCAAATTCAAATAGACTACAATTCTAATAGTTTCGTAAAGTAACAGTGATCTACATTGATAGAATAACAATACTCTCATACACATACCAAGTTTCATTACAATCAGCGAATACGAGTTGCACGATGTCTCTCGTGTATTCGCAGCCCGATATTCACTAATTTCTGCCAGTATCAAACGAGGGTCATTT